ACTCGGTAGAATTTGGAATCCAATGATTGGAACAGCTGTTTCCCTACGACTTTAAATTAAACCAAAAAAATTAAAAATTCCCAAATTCTGAATGTATATTGACCTCAGACATAGAATTGTAATTAAACCTAATTGAATAGAAATTTTACTCTTAATGTATCTGAATCCCTGCCCTGTTTATTATATCATGCTTTTCTTTGCCCTCATGAAAACACGCTGGCCCCCTCCTGGCCCCCTGGTACATTCGGTCTAGAACCGCCACTGTGGAGATGAGAGGAAGCTGCGACGCTATTCACGCGGCTCACCTTAACGGCGACAGGCGTCCCATCCTGGAGCTCCGCCTTGTGGACCTGAGCCAAGCTGGCCGCTGCGATGGGCTCGTAGTCGAAGGTTTTAAAAAGCTGCTCTGGGGTTTTTTTGAAGTCCTCCAGGAAGAGAGCGTCCACCTGTTCCAGACAAACACACGCGCTTAAGAAAACCAAAAACGCTGCATTTGGAGGTCTCCTCTGCCGCGGCGTGTCCTGCAGAACCCACCTCCTTGTACCGCCTGTCCAGGGCTTTGTCCTCCAGGACCTGCAGGGTGCTGATGTACTCGGGGGGCAGCAGGTGGTTGAAGGCACAAAGCCCCTGGCCCAGTTTGATGTAGAGCCCTCCGTTCCTGATGGCTCCCTCCACCATGTGGTCCGCCGCCCGCTGGTGGCAGGCTGACATCTCTGACATGTAGGATGGGCTGCTCTGGCGGGGGGTGGGGGGGGGACAGGAGTCTGACATGATCGATTGCATAAAGTAGCAGTCACATTTTTAACCAGACTCTGGCCTGCTCTGCTGCCCCCTGCAGGAACACGTCAACATTTCCACTTTTTTCACCATTATGCTACGTTCACACCTAAAGCAGCAAGAGCAGCAGAAACGCGCGTGCTAATTAATTTTTTATGCTTGTACAAGTTTTGCTTAGACGCGCGGCTGAAGCATGTCTGCTGCTCTGGCTGCGCGGTGGAAAGTGGATCTGATGCGCGTCGGGCGGAGCTAACATATCCTGTCTTTGCCTGGAACAATGGCAGCTATATTTGCTGTGATCAGTGACTCTGTCACTAGGAATCCCATTCAACAGCAGCCTCAGGCCAACTTGCCTCTTGGCGGTTTGCCGCGGCAGCTGGAAGGCGTTTTTCATGTCCGCTGCAAGAACCAGGATAATGAAAGCAAACATGTTTTCCCAGCAGATTTCAGCATTTTAAAGGAATAGTACACCCAAAACATGATTAGCCCTCATTTTCTACCCACCCCCATGCTGAACAACACTCTGGAGTAC